TATATATATATATATATATATATATATATTTACAAATTAAATTAAAATTAATTTTTTCACTTTCGTTAGAGGAAAAGGGTATGTATAAGTCATTTGTATAACATCATGAATATATATCAGCTCTACATGACAAAATTAAGGGATATATCAGACTCATTTCTCTTTTATTAAGAAACAAAATTGTGGGGCCTAACGTCCTTTTATATCCCCTGGACTAATGTTACCGTCCATGCTTCCCAAAATAGGTAAAACACCTCAATTTAGTGCTTCCACATTTCTAAACATTCTATCTAACTTATGTTTTGATAATTGGGATAATGGGATTGGTCATTTGAATTCATATTTATTCCTAGCAATTTCATTCCAACATACATTTATTTTCTCATACACCAAAATAAAAATAGTAAGTATTAGACTAAGATATTTGGAGGGTACGTAGCATACAAATGACGACTGAGACTTAATTACAAAGTAGCTAAGAATTCAATGACAAGGCCATGTGCATTTTCTAATTTCTATTACTGCTGCTGATATGCTAGTACTAAAATTGCCAAAATGAAGAGGGCCGCCCCATGCCCACTGTTTCAATTTTCCACCACACATCACGATACATAAATAGAGAGTAATAAGAGGCAACTCAAGAGGGAAACCATATAAGTGGAGCCAAAGCAAAGCACCAGCCTAGCAATGTGACGCTGATGCTTGATTTTAAACTATTTGAATTGACATGTAATAATCAAGGTAGGTATGTACAAGTTGACGACTAAAATATCACTATATTTTAAAAAAATGTAGTCAAAGTGAGTAAATATACCGAAAGACGCGGTATGGAATGTCGTCAGATTCTGTGATACACTTTTGCCACCTGATATCATCGTCTGGCCTTTACCGTCACCTATGAACATTACGTTCGTCTTTTTCCTCCCTACTTTCAGGATATCTTCTTCATACCTGTTATTGACATGCGCAAAAAAACATTACATATTAGAAATTTTAATTTGTATTCCTTTGATCACACGAACACACAATCTCAGAATTAAAAATAAAATATGCTTACTATCCGAACAATACTTTATCAAGAAAATTTGATAATGCTTTCAAGCCTACTAGAAAGAATATCATGATGAGGACGACAAAGAAATGAGAAGATCAATGCTATAATTAACTACTGAATACTGAGTCTATCACGTGGGGTGTAAACAAGGACAAGGAAAAAGTAGTACTCTTAATTAGTGAAAAAGTAAAAATAATAGAGTACTTTTTTT